TCCATCCATTATTTCATGTCTTGCCTTCTGGTGCTTTGGAAAATAGATTGACACCCCCCCCCCTTCTCTGTGACAGTCCCTCAAGTATTGAAAGACTGCTATTTTAATGAGATTATTTCTCCAACAGAATCCCTTTCTAAAGTTTTAGCCTACAACTCCATCATCTTTGGCCACTGACTATTCTTGTTCCATCTGACAACAGCTATAAGAAAACCATTAAAAGAGACCAAAATATTGGGAGAATACAAAACCTTAGAACTTTTATGTGTGTTGCTGATGTGCAATTATGTACATAAGAAGGGATCTTCCTGGATCAGAAATAGGATCCACATTGTCAAGGCAATCAATTTCCAAGAGTGGTCAGCTAGATGTTTTCAAATACGTACAGCATGGTATGAAATGTCATTTTGGCTCAAAAAGAGAAAACTAAAAAAATGAATATATTACAAAGTGGTAGCAATAAGACCCCACCAAACGTATACTGAACCTTATCTCTTCTGCCCAAATGAAAATGTGGCGGTGAATATCTAGGATGAAAAGTAGAATTCTGAGTAGGCATTCCCAACATAAAGAGGATAAGATGACCAGAAACAGACAAAACCAAAACAAAGTCAACATTCAATCCAAATTTGCCAATTGTTTTATGACGACAATGAAAGAGTTTTACAACTGTTCATAAAATGGCTCCTTGCAATATATGACTCTGGTAACATCAGTTCCAAAAGTGTGCAGCTTCCTTTGCTTAAAACCCAGTCGACGGAAAAATATGAATACACTTAAGTCACCCCAGAAACTAATTGCTACATAAAAACTACACAAGTAAACAATTTGGTTCCATATTATGGGGAGGTTACAAAAGAGAAGATTACGCCAAACAAAGCTGACATAGCCGCACACAGAACTTTTAACATGCTGATCGTATTAAAAACACTGCACAAGAATTTTTTCCATTTCGTAAGAAGCCAGACTGTTTACATGTTTAAGTGGCTAGAGACTTGGCTATTGGCGTGTGGTCTATTTTGCAGCATAACCTCAAGAAAAAGAGAAGCAGCACGGAAATCATTTTACTTACAAGTGAGGCCACTATTTGATTACAAAAAATTCTCTAGATACAGTTTAACGCAAGTTCCAAACATACATGCAGAAGGTTGGTGAATAAAAATGATTCAACTGAAGATAATCAAAGAGTAGGACAGACAGGAAATTTAACAAGCAGTTAGATGATTTTAATGATGACAGAGGTCAAGCAAAGATTCTTGCCTGTTGTCCAGAAAAGGGCAAATAAGAGACAGACTTATGCTACATGAAATAGTTATCACCGTTATACAACCAATCACTAAGGTAAACATGCTAGAAAAGAACTTCCTCTGAGGATCTTCGCATTCTAGCTAAATTGTGGGAGACCAAACGAATTGCTGAGATTTTTAAGTGGGATGGAGACACATATCAAGTGGATAATGGCAGCTACTTTCTAGGGAAAAATTGGCTAGGGTGAAATGTGTTTCTGGAACTTAAGGCAATTACATCACCCTCCCAAAATAGTAAAATGGACTAGTTGAAAAAAGAAACTGAAACTCCTTTTTGCAATCATTGAGCAAAACAGAAATATGACCTACTTTTCCAATTTATTCCCAGCTTTGAATGTTGGCTTGCTTTCGGTAGAAATGGGTTTTTAAATGCTCAATGAAATAAAAGTCCTATTCACTGGCAAGCTGTTATAGTCACAATCCCTCAAATCTACAAATTAAGCATCATGTGCATATAATACACTTTTTTTCTCTCTCTCTCTCTCTCTCTCTGAGTTGGTTATTTGCTTGCAGATGTTATCTTTTTCAAAGCTTGTGTTGGTTATGCTATAATGGGTTGAGTTGCCAGGCACTTTTTGATAAAGTTATGTTTTGTTGGAAGATGCTGTGTAGGTGGTCTGTTTCCCATACAGTACAGCATCTTCCAATAAAATGGATAGCACTATCATACACTAAAAACATCTCAGAAATAACCAACAAACAATTACAATCACAAGCATCACCGTAGCACACAACACAAAAAAACCCCCCCCCCCCCCCCCAAAAATATCTTAAGCAAACCAAACAACCCAATAACTGGAAAAGAAAAAAAAAACAACAGGATTCATTTAAAACATATTGTGATAGGACTGTAACAGCCATTATGTAGGACAGGCAAGCAGAAGACTAGCAGAGGACATCCATGAACAGCAACTAGCAGTCAGAAGACATGATGAAAACCCTTTAATTTCAGAAGGCATGGACAGATTTAACCATAATTTCCACAGATAAATTGTGAACATCCTAGTCCAAGCTAAATCCAAAAATGGTAACAAATCAGTCCTCAATTGACACATAGAAATAAATCACATTTACAGACCTCAAGGGAGACAATAAAAACGCTAAGACGGAAAGAAAAAGACCATCAGCCAATACCCAGATAAACAGTGATTGACACACGCAAACAATCAAGCAGAAAACAATATCCTAATCAAGGAACTACCCAAGAGAATATCACAGCCACATCAACACTGGCAAGGAAAGCTACTGTATGTAAATAGGGAACCTCACATTCTCTAGCACTGCTGATGTTAGCTAGTTGGATAATGAAATACCTGCAAGCAAACAACCAAGCTCAGAGAGCACCAAGGATTGCATGGTTCAACTGAATTACAAATACTCTCTTCTGATGGAATATTTCTGTAGTAATTCATTAATAAAATCTGTCCCCTTTCAGATTGTTTTTCGAAGAAAATATCATTTTGAATAAGCCTTGGAAACAGCAGGTATGAGAAATACATTCCCAATGCAACACTAGTGAAGTTTTCCGCAGCCCTTCTGGCTCAAATATTTCCCATAACCTCAATGCATCCCAAAGACCAAATATTTATTTGAGATATTTATGCCTGAAAACAAGCATCTGCATTTATACAAAGATACTGTTGAATAAATATATACTGCTCAAAAAAATAAAGGGAACACAAGCAGAAGACATCCGAGATCTGAATGAATGAAATAGCCTTATTAAATACTTTGTTCTTTACATACAGTAGTTTATACACTGCTCAAACAACTAAAGGGAATACAAAACTACTGTATGTAACGAACAAAGTATTTAATAAGGCTATTTCATTCATTCAGATCTCAGATGTCTTCTGCTTGTGTTCCCTTTATTTTTTTGAGCAGTATATATTATTGGAAGATTTTGAATCTGTCCCCTGGCTTAAGAGCAGATTTCTGTAAAAGATGTGGGCATCAAACAAGTATATCATTTACAAATGACATCTAAGAAAATCGCCATGATATAGATTGTTAACAATAGTTGACTCAGGAAAGCATGCTAAATTACCCTAGAATTAAATCCCTCTGGCATTATGCCTTTTTCTTCTTTTCTTTGTTCCTTTAGGAGAAGCTGATTCAGTCTGCCAGAATGGAAAAATAACCAAAATTCTGGGGTTAACTCTTATCTGATTTTCAAAGGACAAGAATGTCCAGCGCTCAAGCAAACATATCACATTGTTTATATATATTAAGGTCAAATACTATACACACTAGAAAATTGTTGGAAGATTTAGTTATTTTCTCGAATTGTGATATGGAGAACAATGCTACCCTCCCACCCACAAACTTTTTCCTCCCTACTTCATTCTGTGCATTATAGTCATTCCCCCCCCTCTCTAAAAAGGGGGTCTCCAGCCTCTTACTCTCTCAAATTGGGCCCTCCTCCCTTTCACTTTCCCAGACTTTTTGCCACCCAGCAAGATGAAGCAAGAACAAACAGCAAAATATATATTCAGTTTGACTATATGTACTTCAGTAAACACACAAACATGCACTCAAGACATAAACCTAGCATGTAGTATGTTGCAAAATGTAAGATTTCTGGTATACTTCATTGCTACAAATCAAACCAGTTAGTATAAGATGACTTTGGAAGAGATTCTGCATACATTTACATTGAGTAAGAACAGGGGATCATAGATAATTCCGAAATCTATTTCACTGTATCCTGTGGAGAACCAAAAGTGCAATATTCTTTTGTCACCTTGAAAACCACAATAATTTTTTTGAATATCCAGTTCATAGAAATTAACTGTCACCCTAGTGACCCAAAGGCTTTATGAGTTGAAAGGAATGTGTTTATTAAGTATCTAATTCTGCTAAATATCCATTTATAAATGCAGACCTAAACATATTCAATTAAAAGGAAGGCCCCTTGAAACTGTGACCATCTGGCCTTTTCAAATAGCTATTACACAGCAAAGCTTGACTATTAACCTAGATACAATTTCCTATTCTTCCCTACTCCTATAGCCATTTCCATACTATTCCACAAGTCTATAATCTACGCATAAGTCTACACGATACACCTATGATCTGTAAATCCGTGATCTACACAGGTAATGGTGAGGAGAATGCACAGGATGGCAAAGATCTTTGAACTTTGAGGTATCTACTTTGCTCAGAGGGTTGTCTACAACTGGAAGCCACTATTTGATACAAATCTTATTTTGAAAATGTCTCTACCTTATATAGGATTAAGATCCATTCTTGTACACAGGCGTGAAAATTAATTTTTTTAAAGAAATGATTTGTTTTATCCCATTTAGCAAGCTATTTGTCACAAGAAATCCTATTAAAAATCCTTGAATATTAAAAAGTTTTATCCAGGATGAAACAATATTTCCTAAGATATAGCTAATTGTTAAATAATTCAATACAATATAGTACAATACAATACAATACAATACAATACAATACAATACAATACAATACAATACAATACAATACAATACAATACAGGAAAGAAGGAAGGATGAAAGAGGTCCCTTATGTAGAAAAGCTTGTAAAATAACCCCTCTCAAGTATGTGTGCGCATTTCTATATATCATACTATATATCTACATAGCCCCATTGTATTCAAATTAACAAGCATAAAATTCTAGTTACTATAGCAATAAAAACCAGAGTTCCCCACCATGCTTCTTACAGAGTTCTTCTGTGGGCTAAAGAGAGTAGATTTCTAGGCATATATACAATGGTCATATCAGTAATAAGAAGGAAGTGTAGATAACTGATATGGCAATACCAGGGAATAGTAGAATAGAAGACAAAGAATTGGAGAAGATCACAATAGTAAGATGTAAAAATCAAAATTGAAAGATTATGGCATAAACTGGTCATAACAGCATACTGGGTGCCATAAAAAAAATTGGACCATGCTTAAATCTGTACCTTGACAAAACTTCCTTCTGTCAATTACAAAAGGCCACATTACTACTTGGATCTTCACATATTCTATGATGATACATTACGACTTGGTTTTTTGGAAGAACTCCATGCTTATGAAGGCCAACAGCTAAAGAACTGGCAGTTATAATTTCACATTCTTGTGTATATAACAATAACAAGATCTCAGAGATCGTGCTTGAGAAGGAGACCCAGACGGTCTACCCGCACCCTCCCTATACAATAGAGAGGCTGCGTACCATTATCCCGGAATTCATTGCAGCTGCTCCCAAAATGGCACCGGGATAATACCACACAGCTTTTGTGTAGGAAAGCCACAGCGGAGCAGTTGCTTCCCAAAGGAGTTCTATGGAAAAGATAAGTGATTAAGCCATGTTGAGGGGGAGAGGAGGAGAGTGTGGGAAGCAAGTCTAAGGCCTGCGGGCACCCAGTGGGGCAGAATGGGTGGGGAAGATAGACTGGGGTGTGTATGCTGCAGCATCCCTGCAGTCTGTCATATTAATCAATTTTTATTACGGTCATAGACCAGCACAAAAGTTAAACATTAAAACAAAACAAGACTGAACAGAACTGAACAGGACGGGACAGGATGTAGTAACATATTACAATTGATGGTGAAATCATCAGTGGGTGACCAAGGTCTGCCTAATTTTACAAAGTAGCAAAACTCAGCTATGTTCAGAGAAGCTGTGTCATACTGATCCAATAATAGTAATTGTACTTAAAAGAAACCCGAATTCCCACGGTACTTTAATCAGGTAAGGTGCTATAAAATGAGTCTGTGAGTCCTTATAGAGGAGGCAGTATGAGTTGTAGTTTCAATGACCGTTTGTCCATAGGGGAAACAGTCTCAGTTCTCAGCTTTTTTATATCAGCCTTCCAAAACTGCTGTGGGCCGAGCGTTACAACATGCTAGAGTTAATGTCCTTGCAGTCAGTCATAAATGTGAGTGGATTGACAAATTCTCAAATTTTGTTAATGAGAAATCCAAGGGCGTTGCAGCAGCTGTAACTTTGGGCAGGGGTGGTTAGTCTCTTCATTCAGTGCCATAATTTTGAACAGTCTCTGAACCAACAGTTATAAGTCGAGGGCTACCTGTATACCATTTGCAGCAGAAGCACTGAACTGAAGAAACTCCAAAGATGTTTCCAGAACACATGTGCTACGCCTTCCTTTGAGACAGATTTTCAGTTCCTTACAATGATTTATTTTTAGCAGGCAAATATAGCTGAGTAATCTGTCACAGTGAAGTGTCTTATACAACAATTATTGCATAATAAGTTTTCCTTCCACAGCCCAGGGCCTTTGAACTGGATAGGATCACAATTCATAGAATTCCTATAGAAAATGGAATTCTGCAAGTTGTAGTTCAATACGTCTCAAAGTCTCCAGGTTGGGAAAAACTGAATTAGGCCATTGATGGATGACAAATTTAGTTAAACTAAATAATAATGAAGTAAAATATAAGTTGTCTATTAAGAGTCAGCTGGCCATTGCTCAGCATTACAAAGAGGCTTCCCCAGAAATCATGAGTCATAATGCTTGCTAAATAAAACATCAGATGTGGAAATGAAGCTTGAAAATCTTTTTACACAGTCATGTTTTGCTTAAGAATGATTTTATTAATGATGTGTAAGAACATCATGATAGTTACAGAAGTAAAACCAAATTCACTTCCTCTCCACACAAATAAATTAATGTTGCTAATTCAAGTGAGTAGGAAATCAGTCAGGAGAAAATGTTAATAACAGAAAGGAAGTCCACATGAAGGAACTGCAAGCTGGCTGTAATGATTTTCCCCCTTAGTGTCAATTTCTTTCATCACTTTCAAGAACTAAACTGATGTGAATTGTTTTAATTTTATATGAATTTCGTTAAAACATATGGTTGCAAATAAAGGTACTAAATACTGCAAAAATATTATTTCATCAGTTATCTGCTTTTCACACATTTCTCTTCCTCACATTTTAAGAAATGGACTCTGAACCATGGTTTAAGAGAACATCACAATATAATGGTTCTAATAATGCAGAAATTTGGCTTTGATTTTAGCGCATGAGCCTCAGAAGCTCCCTCCCTTCTCCATTTCCAGAACAGCTATAAATGAATCACTTGCATTATCAGCTAACAAAATTTTTAATCTGGGACAAACTTTGGATAATTACGAGTTTTCAAAATAACCCAAGATTATTTGTTCATTTAGATCTTTATACAATAAAAAATGAAAGGGATGAAGTTCTCAAATATGCAAAAGTTATTTTATTAGCTTAATATTAACAGAAAGTTACATAAATTTCAGTAGACTATATGCTTTCTAACTCTAATACTTTCCCATTCTTTGTGCCTCTTTAAAGTAATACATAGGCAACATTAATCAGAGTTGAGCCTAATTCAAAAACGACAAGCCACAGTTTGGTGAAAATGAAAGCAAAAATCTTCTGATTTGCTTCTCACAGCCATGTACAAATGAAAAGTTGGGTGTCTACGACTCTAAATGATGATGTACCTTGGCTTCATATGAATACTGGGTGAGTGTGGCTTCCTTCTCATATCAATGCAAGTTTTATTTTAATAATAAACTATATTTAAAACACCATTTACTGAAAGATGACAATCTTTTTCATATAGCTTTTATTACATAAAGCAAACATGGAAAACGATGATGATTTAGACACCATCTGACTGAAGATCGACTCCAATGCCATTATATTAACCCAATTCTTTTTAAAGGTATAAACCAGTACTTTGAGGGCTTAAATAAAACCTTAATGAAACATCTTCACTAAAGGCTGCTTCCCCAAAAATTCAGTCTCTCACACACATCCACTTCCTAGCGGAATGGTGATCTGATAGCCAGAAGCAACTAGTCTATATTCATATGGTCAGAATTGTTTAAACATTGACCTCAGCCATCTACATAAATATAGTTCTCACACAGCAAGATGACATCTAAAATGTTCCCCAACCATACAAAAGACGAGTCCATGCCCTCTGCTATTCTTGCCTAGGGAATCAACATCTAGCATAGAGGCACTCAATTCCTGTCACTGATGGGAGATTTAATGAGGGTTATTCCCCTTTTTTGCTTCTTGGGAGAAAAATGGGCACTTGGAGAGGCCTTGAATCAAGTTTTTCAAAGCAGGCTTACAAACAGTATAATTCAATCAAGGCCCAAAGGTTTTAGATTAGAAATCATGAACCAGATATAGCATATGGGATTATTTACAGAAAGGCTTCTTTAATCTCAACTTTATTTCTCCATGACAGTGACCCTTTAGCTGTCTTGTTCAGCCTCCTGTGAAGTTACAAGCTAAAACTGGGAAAAGCAACTTTCATAAGCAACTTTAAATCTTTTGACTGAGGGAATGTCCCCGCTCAAGGATTAAAAGGTTACAAAACTAAAGTAAAACAAGATATGTAACCCCAATCCCTTTGACAGCAGAAATCCCAAAGACATTTCAATGGTGTCCAACAGTCTCATTTACCCAGGTAACTATGTATTTTAATAAACTAATAACTGGGTGGGTTGGAGAAAGATAGATGGAAAGATGGATGGAGGGACAGAGAGAGAGATAAAGAGGTAGAGATACTAACATGCTACAAAATCAAGTAACAACCCTCTTAAAAGATGGCTCATTTGCTTTAAAGAGGGTTTATCTGTCCAGAATACAGGGGAAAAAATGAGCAGAACAACCTGGAGCAACCTGATCAGTTCCCTTCAGGTAAATAGGTGTTATCACTGACATGTTATGAAAGAGACAATTTGTCTTTCAAAATTTTGGAAATCTCCCAACCGCCTGTAAACTAATGTACACGTGATAGAAAAAGCTATTTTCTTCACAATTCAGAAAGCCCAATTCAAATCAGATAAACCTAAGAAAATCATTAACTGTATGGAGTTTTAAGCTTGTTAGATGTCAGATCAAGTTACCAACCAGAAAGACAAAAGTGGATTTTGGCAGCTAAATGATCAAAATACAAATGACAAAAAAATTACTACAATCAAACTTGAAAGGAGAAAGGAAAATATAATGGGATGACAGGCAAAGGGTGCCCTTTGCTTGGTATTTAAAGGAGCCAAGTTGTAATCTCAAACACTTCTGTAGTTTGCGTGCATCCTGGCTTAACAGTGGCCAAGTTCAATGATAGGAATCCAAAAGACAGAAAAAGTACACTACCTGGCAAGGGAACAGTTTCTCAGGGGAACAAACCAGGAAGTTAGGGAATGAGGAGATAATTCCAGTTTTATTAGGAGTTGACTTTAAAGCCTTCAAGAGAATGCCCTAAGGAAGTGCAGAGAACTCAAAAACTTGTTTTTGTGAGAGAACATTTCATATGTCAGATTGTAATTATTGCTATCGTTGTCATCAGAGATCGCAAGAGCGCCTTCTTGGGTTAAGCAAGAGTCTGCTTAATAGGGTGGAAGGGGGCAGGGAGAGAGAGTGCCAATAGCATTTCCTCAGGGGGGCAGCACAGAGCAACCTGCACAGCCCTCTTGACAACAGTACAATGATGAAAAACTGAAGGGGACGCAGGGAAAAACTACTCTACATTATTTTTAACATGGGGCTCCAAAGACTCCCACTGTGGAACCTCAAGGACTCACACACAATTTTAAGGTTATTTTAAGGTTAGGCTAAGTCATCATAAAAGATCTATGCAGTTTTAAATTAAATTCAGTGATCCCCTGACATTAAAAAATTGTTCCACCAAGGAAAAAAAATGGCAGGGTTATTCCAGATTTAAAAAGTTCATTTTACATTCCCTATCTCGCTATGGAAGTGTCAGGCCAATCTAATTAACCCAGAATAAAGTCCCACTGGATGTAACAGTGCTTATTCTAGAGTAAGCACATACAAGGTTGCAACTTCAATCCACATTATTCCAACACCGGTCTCTTTTAAAATGTTGTTAGATGTTAACATGTTATGTTCTCGAGAATAGAGCATTGCTTTTCTAAGACTTCCCAATCAATGTTAATCTATCTTCACAGCATTTTAGTAATGCCAACCTCACCTTTGAACTTATTTAATAGAGCTATACTACTTATTTCATTCATGTTTGCTCATATTCAGCTGAACAAGGTGTATTTAGTTATTAGATTTCTACCCCAATTTTATTTCAGGGACTTAAACCAGAACACACCACGCTCACTTCTCCTCACTTTCTTTACCTCAATCACCCTATATCATGGAGAGAGAATGAACGATCTAAGGTAGCTGAGCCTAGCAAATTGGATCTTCTTGCCTCAAGTCTGTCTCTTAACCATCCTTCACTTTGCATCCCATTCCATCCAAAGAGGCAATGAAATTATCGAAGTCAGCCTCTCAGGAAAAAAAAAAACTAAAGTAAAACTCAGGAAAGTAAAACTTTTCTCATTGAATGTAGTATTAATTTTCAACCCAGGGTTTGGAGATTATAGCTCAAATGTAGATCAAGTACTCCCTCTACAGAAAATATTGCATTACAACATCAGGAAAATGATCTGAAATCCTCCGGGACCTTCTAATAAGATACATGTGCTCTACTGAAGCAAAGCTATTAAGACCGTAGGTGTTCTTCTCTTCCTAAATTACATTGGAAACCGCTGAGATGTAAATAGATGAGCCAATGAATTTTCCAGAGCTTTCCAAACAGTTCTGAGTGAAAACATGTTAGATAATATATTATCAAGCAGAATCTATGACTTGCACAGAAAACAAAATCTGAATTTCAATTTGAAATCAAGCATATTATCATTGAAACTAGCATGGATTTATCATTTAAAATCTGTTCGATATAATATTCTCTCAGCTGTTTTGGCAACTCAAAACAGTATTCAAGATAGAAATCCTTCATAAGAAGTTTAGGTTGCGAAATATCAAGAAACAACCAACCATGACTTCAATGGGAGAAAGGGAATTGGAATCACAGCCAGACCATTGTGGGAGAGCAGTTTGTAAACCTGAGGAGGGGGGGTGGCAGGGTACTTGTGAAGAGTCCAGGGTCCAATTTGTGATATTACTCATAAGATATGTTGATAATATTGTGGAGAGTAGGATACAATATGAGAAGTAGTAGAGAAGAGTGCTTATGTGTGTTGAGTAGGGACCTATGTGAGACTACAAAGTTGGATAAAGTGTAAAAACAGCCTGTGACAACCATGCATTTCTAGACAATGTTGACTTTTCTCCATGGGGGAAAGAGAAGAAAAAAAGTTTGTTTTTATAATCTAGTGAATCCTAGGAAAACTGCATGCATGTATATACATAAATTCCATTCTGATTGAAAGGGGCTATGTTCAAATAAATACACATAGAATTTTACCACAATAGTAGATAATCCATGATCCGCTGGGTCATCATTTCAAAGATATTCCCCTACTAAACAGAGAAATAGAATGACCATCAGAGGCCATAAAATCAGTGGGAATGGGAGCAACTTCCAGCTGGCTTCCCCATTGACTTTGTTTGTGGGAAGCCGGCAAGGGAGAGTTGGAAATCTCCTCCCTCCCTCCTTCCCTCCCAATATAATAGGGATAATAAGCAAGAATTTGTAATAATAAATAAAATAAATAAATGAGTAAGGATAAACAATAAATGTAAGTAATTATTTAGTAAGTAAGGATGGAGGTGTTAAGAGATATCAAATGATGAAATAATGATTCTCTTCAAAATAAAATCTGTGGGTGGAATTATGTCATTTATTTTAATATTTTAAAATAAATCTAATTTTATGGAAGACATACTGAGGACATATTAAATAAACCTGTCTGAGGAAGCCACTGTTCTGCTTACACTTATTGCTGCCTAAATAAATTGAGGTGTGAGGTCATTGGTGGTCTCCGAGCTTGGCTGTTTTCTTGCAGACATTTCACCACCCAACTAGGTAATATCATCAGTGTTAGATTGTGCTAAATTGGGATGTTAATTCTATGAATGTCTGAATTTCTACACTGAACTACAAGTCCACACAGGTTTGCTGACCAACAACTATAAGTTTCTGGACTTTCAATATAGAATGATTGGTAGTCACAAGGCTCCAAAGAAATCAGGTTTCCATCATACTAACATTTCTTCTTACATCATTCCTCTCATCATATGAGGTAGATTTCTTTTGTATGACTCAGTGGTCTGCAAGCCACAACATGGTTTGGAGCTCTGCCATAAAATTAGCTCATCTCTTCTGGGGATCTCCTTGGTGGAAATTAAGGTAGCAGCTCATAAACAAGACTAAACGTTGACAGATCAATAGATTGTCCTACCTTTCTATCAAGAGTGTTGATAGATAACCACAGTTTCAATATCATGCAATCAAAGCTTTATTCATTCTCACTAGTAACCCAGAGGCACTTGAGAACCATGGAGCAAAAGTCTTGAGGGGCAAATGTTAATTATCATTTGATGTGGGTAAGCTTATATCATAGTTTAAACTACAGTGAGTGACCTATGACCCCATTTTCAATGAATTGGACAGAAGTTAGACGTGGAACATCTAACGCTAGAGATTAAGTTTAAAAACTGGACATGTTAAATTTTGAAAAATCTTTGGAAGCTGCCTAAAGCCTTGGTGGCGCAGCAGACTAAAGTGCTGTTAAATAGCACCAGCTGCCTGCAATTACTGCAAGTTCAAATCTCACCAGGCTCAACGTTGACTCAGCCTTCCATCCTTTCGAGGTAGGTAAAATGAGGACTCGGATTGTGGGGGCAATAAGCTGACTTTGTATAAAAAAGAACGCCGCTTAGAGGGGGCCGAAAGCCCTACTAAGCAGGTATATACAAAAGTATGAAGGCTATTGCTTAACACATTGTAAGCCGCCCTGAGTCTCCGGAGAAGGGCAGCATATAAATCAAACCAATAAATAAATAAATAAATAAATAAATAAATAAATAAATAAATAAATAAATAAATAAATAAATAAATAAATAAATAAATAAATAAATAAATAAATAAATAAATAAATAAATAAATAAAAAGCAAAAGCAAAAGCAAAAGCAAAAGCAAAAGCAAAAGCAAAAGCAAACAAGTTTTTTTGTTTCCAAACTCTGATAAGAGTTTTCTTTAGCAAGAAGTGGGATGGATTTCCAACAATTGAACAATTTAGAACCAATATCTCCCCAAGTACATCAAGTTGGAAACTTTCTGCTTTTCTTTCTATAATCTCTCTGTGAAGCAGCAAGCAGATGGGTCTTTTGAGTGATAACAGAAGTTTGCAATTGCCTCAGCCACCTGAATCGTCAGCAGTCTGGGAACTGGAACTAGATTAACATCTAAAAAGTCCACGCAATAATAAATTCTCACAGCCAAGCATTTGTTATCTTGCTCTGGTAATAAACATAACTATATTTTTAGAAGTCCCTGTAATGTCATCATTAGAAAAGTTTTAAATACAGTCAAGTGAGGAAATATAAATGCCAGTTGGGTTGCTGTACCCACTATCTTTCAATGACTTAATTACATTAAATGCAAACTTAAATGCTTCAAGCCGCTAACTACAGCTACTTCACTAAACATAATAGACGTATTCTGAAATAAACCACTTTGCAGGTTCAAAATCCAAGGATTTCCATACTACAATAACCTTACAATGCCAATACCAGTTGTAAGGAAAAAGTAAGCTGTCGTCAACAAGGAGTGAATGGAATGCACCATACTCATAGGAATGCTCCCAAGTATTTGCCTTCTTAACATAATGGGGAACGGATGCCCTCAAGTTTTCCTACTGATTTACTTAACTATTAGTAAAATTACATAATGGTAGAAAGTATTAATACTCAAGATCAACAGCATGCTTCTTTCAAGGATCAAGCTAGAGCAGAAGTGTCAAACTCAAGGCCCGTGGGCTGAATCCGGGCTGCAGGATGCTGAAATTTGCCCCGTGGGGCCACCATGGAACCAGCAAAGGACCAGCCCACAATGCCTCTGCCAGGGAAAACGCAACTTGGGAAGGCCGCATGTGGCCCTCCCAGGCTCCGTCTTCACTGGCAGAGGGCTGCAGGAAGCCGTTGCGGCCGAAAACGAGGCTTGGGAGCCCATTTTCACTGGCAGAGTGCTCGGGCCATCACAGGCACCCCCAACATGAGTGACGTCAAGCCCACGCCCATCCTGGCCACACCCAACCCGACCCCCCGAGGTCAAACACAACCCTGATGTGGCCCTCGATAAAATCGAGTTTGACACCCCTGGGCTGGAGTATGTCTGAACAGCATAAATATAAACTATAATATTTAACTATGAGATGTTAACGGAAGAGTTAAGATAACAGTATCTGCTATCTCATTAAAAGCTGCAAAAGGAGACATGAAGGATTGCATACAGCCTTTAGTAAAGTAATACAAATTGACCACCCATTGTGCAATTACTCCCAAGACAATAAAAATCAAGTGTTCTCTGAAAGATTTACACAGCTGACATGGGAAAACTGCACAAGGAGAACAGAGACTTTATTCAAATAGCTAAACTTAATGGCTGTCTTTTCATGGGATATTTTTGCTTGCAAAAACATTATCTGAAAATGACAAAACATTCGGCTGCAGGCAAAGATGCTTTTCACATGCAGAAAGGCATGTTCATTTCATGAGCCTCCGCAGCCAAAGCAGGGGAGGGCTGTCAAATTTTAAAAATCACTCTTTTGTACAGGTGTCATAATGTTGCACAAACTTAGGTGAATGGTGGAGCTTGTATTATGATGTGACAATATGCTTTTATCACTCTGAAAAAACATCTATAGCAGGGGTGTCAAACTCAAGGCCCGGGGGCCAGATCTGGCCTGCGGGGTACTTAGATCTGGCCCGCAGGGCCACCCTGGAAACAGCAAAAGACCGGCCCTCAGTGTCAAGCCTGGAAGCCATCTTTTGCATTGGGCCTTCAGGCCTGCTACATTTCCTACTGTGGGAAACTGGGAGGGGGGGGATTGTATAGAGTAGGGGTCCTCAAACTTTTTAAACAGGGGGCCAATTCACAGACCCTCAGAAAGTTGGGGGGCCGGACCAGCTGGGTGGGCATGGCTCGGTCATGTGACTAAGTGGGTGTGGCCAATTTAACAGTCCATTAAACAATGCATATAAATTAAACTTTAATTTGTTTTGCTCCTGGGAGTGTTTTATTTGCTTTTGTTTGCATGTTGCTCTTTTGGTTGACTTTTCTTTTTACTACATCATTTTTTCAGTTGTTTAGGAGTCTAGTGGTCCACTTCAAAAAACTCAGTTTTGCAGCAATTCTTCTCACCTCCACACAATCAAGTCTGTGTGTGTGTGTCTCCTGTCTCTCCCTCTCTTTCTGTCTCTCTCCCACTGTCTCTCTCTCCCTCCCTCTGTCTCTCTCTTTATGTATCTTCTGGAGGCAGGGGAAGTGAAAAATAGGCAGTTTTCGCCCATTTTTTTTTGCCTCCTGGGGCGCCTGTGCGCCCCATTTTTCACCTCCCCCACCTCCAGCAGCATTCTGCAGGCAAAAATTGTTGGCTTTACCTTTCAGCTCCAGCCTGCAGGGCTTGTGAAGGTAAGCCCTGCGCTCAGCTGAAGGGTGGGTGGGACGATATGGGCAGGGCAGCCTTGTGGTCCTGTGTGGGCCGGTTTAATGGCTTCAGTGGGCCGCATGCGGCCCATGGGACGTAGTTTGAGGACCCATGGGATAGAGCATGGGTGATATATATTTATAATAACATTCTTTTCTCAGAGAGTCAAGGACATCTTGCCCTGCACCTGGAGGGTTGGAACTTGGAGGCTTGTCCAGTGGGGACGGTGCTTTGAATGGGCCATATGATAGACTTGTGGGTGCTGGGCAGGGACTTGGACTTTTTGTTGGGTGGGGAAAACCTGGAAGCTTTTGAGATTCGGGTTTTCCCATATGTGCCAATATGACATCTCTAATAAAATGAAACTTTGAGGAACTTCAAGCTTCAGATTCTTCTTTCATTGGGGGTGTTACTTGGAACCCTGACATTAATCTGAATCTGACATGTGGTGCCTCTGCCAGCAAAAATGGGCTGGTGAACTCAGTTTTTGGCTGCAATGGCCTCCTGCAACCCTCTGCCAGCAAAAATGGAGCTCAGGAGGCCCTACCGACCTCCGTTTTCACTGGCAGAGGGTTGCAGGAAGCCGTCGCAGCCAAAAATGGAGCTCACCAGCCTGTTTTCACTGGCAGAGCACTCGGGCCACCACAGGCACCCCCGACACGAGTGATGTCAAGTTGGCCACCTCCACCCCAGCCACGCCCAATCCGGCCCCCTGAGGTCAGACACAACCCTGATGCAGCCCTCAATGAAATTGAGTTTGACACCCCTGCTCTATAGTCTGTGGATGTCTCCCTCAATACAGGGAGTCCTTGGGTTAATTGGACCAGAATTGGTGATGCAATTCTGATGCAAAACATCAACGACTGCATCGCTTAGCGATGGCAATCCTTGCACTCCTTGTTACTGTTATTAGGCAAGGATTGTGGATTGTTAAGTGAGGACCTCCTCGCAATTTCCTGCCGGCTTCCAAAAAGCAAAGTCAGTGGAGAAGTCAGCAGGAAGTTGCATGTTCCAGGCATCTCACAAGTAGGGGTCTGGGCAGATACAAGGCTGCTGCCTAATGAGCAAGGGCATGCAAGGGGACATGGAGGGCCAGTGCAGAGCAAGTACTTCATGCCGCCAGGTGCATGAAGGTAAGCAGGTGACAGCTGCCAGTAGGGGAGAGTTACATGCTCCTCAGGGGAAAAAGTCACAAGACTGTGAACAAATTACCGGAACAACCTGTGACCTTCCCTGCTAACTTCCCCATTGACTTTGCTTGTGGGAATCGGCAGAGGTCAGAAATGGTGATCACATGATATGCAATGCTACAGCCATCCTAAACAGGAGCTGGTTGCCAAATGCCTGGATGGTGATTGTGTGACTATGGAGGTCCTAGGACAGACAGAACTCTGAGGACTGGTCATAAGTACTACTCATTCAGCACCTTCATAATTTCAAATAGTCACTTCATGAGTGGTCATTAACTGAGGACTACCTGTATATACCAGGCTTCTTTTGTATTTTCAGCAAGAACAATTCAAGAAAGGAGTGCAGTTGAAACTTGAGAGGTTTTACTTTTATTCCTAAACACCAGAAAGAAGCAAAATTATATAAACTATGATAGAACCAATCAGTTATAATATGTGATTTTTTTTCAGAACCACAAGGCTTCTACCACTTGTTCTATCACATAAAAAATAAGATTCTTATCCATTGAAAATTGAGAATCAGTTGAAATCATTTCTCCCATTCATTGCTCCCAGAAATGAAGTTTTTGTATAAAAGTTTTAATGGTTATCATCTCTCTACTCATGGTTATTAGGATCCAGCCTGTTACTGCATTTTACCAATAGCTAATTGAACCGACAGTACAATAAATTTTATTCTTTGGCTGGTCACAAATATAGTTTCTTTTTATGATGATAAGTTTCAGTCACAAGCCTCTCCCTGAATTTATATATCCTCTATCTTTAGATAGTCACATAATTAGTGGGCTGAAACAACAGTCATTTTTTATGCTAGCCTGACACCAAAGGGAAATATATTAGAATCATTTAGCAGTGCATTTCAATGTAAGAAACAAACAATGCAACAAGATTTGCTCCCATAAAATCCAACTGGAGTTATTTATACATTGGTTCTGCCTACATCAATCATCAACTTACCTTGATAACCAATTTGTCCAAAGTCATGGTTGCCTCTTTAATTGTTGATGAAACCTGTAAGATAAATAAAAGAGATATCACTTTAGGAAATCTATAATGATTAGAGACTCTGAACCCTACATACCATAATGTCAAACTTGAGAAGAATCTTATGTTCACGAATGCTTATAATTTGGTTTTTTTTTTTTTACTTTGTAGCTTACTACAAAGTAGTACATGTAGGCACAGAATACATGTAATATGTTTAACCAAATTGCTTGGGGTTTTAAATTATTTCCCCAGATGCAATTCATTTTTTTTTTTTTGCAATTATTGGGATAGAGTATGGAAAATAGCACATTTCTAACATTTATGGTCAAAGTCCCAGCCATATATTTACTTATCAGGATAATGGGAGAAACACTACTGTAGTATTTCCTAACCATGACACTTTTGATATTCAAAACTGTCAGCAATAGCAATTTCATCCAAAGATGGAAAACCTAAGTGTTACTTAAGTCTTCCTATAAGAAATATATATTAAGTCAAAGGTTTTTTTTTTTCTACTGAGAACGCATTTTTTAAAAAAAATTTGATTTATATGCCGCCCTTCTCCGGAGACTCAGGGCGGCTTACAATGCGTTAAGCAATAGCCTTCATACTTTTGTATATTTATACAAAGTCATCTTATTGCCCCCACAAACTGGGTCCTCAATTTACCTACCTTAGAAAGGAGGGAAGGCTGAGTCAACCTTGAGCCTGGTGAGATTCGAACTTACAGTAATTGCAGACAGCTGGTGTTAATCACAATGCTTTTAGTCTGCTGAGCCACCAGTCCCTATTTTATTTATTTTTGCTACATTTATTTATGCTACAGTTGTCATAACCTTCCTAGCTGGATTCCATTTGCCTCACCATCATAAATGTAAACCGCTCTGATAAAGAAAGGATTAAAAAGAAAAAAAAATACTACCTATAACTGAAGAACACTTCTGATCAAAGCTTCTGTTTAAAAGTGAACATTGTAAATAATATTACAGTTTACAAAATTTCAGGATTGATTTACTCTTGTTAGATTATTTATGATTTAAATCTACTATTCTGTCTGTTTGATAATATGATTATCAAGTGGAAGTTGAAGCTGAGAAGCTCAAATTATAGGACAGGACAAAGGCAGGGAGCTTCAGACCGACATCAATCTCTGTTTGGGTGCTCTCTTATTCAGAGTAAGATCTCTGCCTCATGAGAACATGCTTTAAACATTTCTGGACCCTCCTTCTAAATGGAAAGAGGAGGGACCCGCAGGGGACATGAGTGTGAGGTCTTGTAATGGCATGTGGGAACGACCTTAGGACAGTGCCCCCCCCCTTTTGGGACCGTTTCCGTGGAGAGAGGTTTTTCCGCAGACTGGAGTTTGGTTGGTTTTGCATACTATCTGCAGATGGGGCTTCGTTTGTTTCTGTTGCTGGCATGCCACAGACCGGTGCCAATCCACAGACCGGGGATTGGGGATCCCTGCCTTAGGAGATAGGAAGGAGAGTGGCAGACTAAACAACTGGCATGCAAAAGATTTCTCAACCCACAGAAGTAGGGAGGGTGTGGGAAACATTTTTGAGAGAGCAAAAAAGAAAAAAGGGAAGAAAGATAGGCTTTCAGATTTGCCTATATTATAATGTAACCTTATAATAAAGATAGAAATAATATTCCTGGTTGTGCTTCTTGTCCGGACTACCATGTAGGGTTTACAGGTATGGCTGGCACACCTAATGCCACACTCTTCAAGTAACGGAATACCCACAAAATAAGTGTCACATAAACTGTTACAATTTTCATCTGTTCACTAAATTCACCTACCCAGGCTAAACCAAAATATTGGGGGGAGGGTCAGAAAAACACAATAGCCACTTCCTGCATATTATTGCCAAGAGAATTACACAGAATTACACATATCAAGGCAGTAAGCAGCAATCAAATTCAACTCAAGAAAGTCTTTACCTAAATGCTTAATATTAGAGTGAGGCCTTTCTTCCCAAATTCTATCCTATATCATTTACTACAATTTAAAAAAAAATCTTTTCTTGGAGGTCCCCATTGCCCTGAATCACACTTAAGACCAAAAGAGGAAAATGAAAACACACATAAACGCACACGCAGGCGTTTGGCATCAGAGAGACCAAAATATTTTCTACATTCCTCAGTTCCTGGGAAAAAATATAGTCAATTTTTAAATTATTTTTGCATTCATTACGTAGCTGTCTGAGAAATGGCGAGTACTGCGTAATTAAAAGCAAATGTTTTCCTAATTTAAAATCAAACAGAAAAGGATAAAAGCTTGTTGAGATAAGCTCTGGAATAAAGAGCAAAGGAAAGAGGTAGAAGGGGACTCAACAGTAGCAAACTATTCAAGATAGAATTTAGACATAAAAAACCCCACCTTTCCATATAGAAACTAACTCTCTAAAGGAGAATATTTATAGCTCAGGGTTGAAATGAGGAGCTTTTTATGCTCTCTGAGCTTGGTTGTTTTCTTGCAAACATTTTATTATCCAAACTAGGTAACATCATCAGTGCTAGTGGCTAGTGCTACCGTTGATGTTATCTAGTTTGAGTAATGAAACATCTGCAAGAAAACTAAAAAACCAAGTTCAGAGAGCACCAAGGACCCCTCAACTAACACTCTGCACCTATGTATATATCGACACATACATTTGAATTAGAATTAGAATTCTGAAATGGAATGACCATACAAAGAACAACTATATACATGGTGTCTTACCAAAGATGTACAGTAGGTAGAATTATTCACAGATCTTGATATACTTTGAAGCAACTGCATTTAGAGCTTGCTCCTTTAGGAATCTTTAAACCTATTTTAAGGCAAAGGATGCCTGCACCTGCAGTATTCCTAAAGCTATCTAAATTGCAGGCCTAATTCTGCTATGCACCTCTTACTTTGTAGGAGAGCAAATTCTGGTCGATATTCTTCAAGCTGTGAGTTACAGTATTTTCAATGGTAATGGAACCCAGGTCACAATTTGCTATGCCAAATAATTTTTTGACCAAGGACAAAGATCCCAGGGCATAGGGAGAACTATCTATAGTAAGAACAAACAGGATTCAATCTTTTGCAAGACTGTCTTATTTACATGTTTAAAATGTTATGAAGAACTAAATATACATAAGTATGTTGATAAGCATCACAAATCTGGTTATAAATTCACAAAATACATGAAAACATTCTGTAGCGTGAAAATGTGGCTTCAGATTCCTCCAAGGAAAGCACTCTAAACCAGGATCAGTTTCCAAAAAAAAAAAAAAAAAAAGGATTTATTGTGGTGAGCCTACCACTCCAAAGTAGAAATGCACACCAAAAAGTTCAGTAACCTTTAATGAATTCTTGCATCCTATTTCACCTGTGTACCACAACATTTTGAAATGTTTATTAGTTTTTAGTTCAATCTGTACCTTATATGGGTTCTTAAAGTTATTTCTTCATTCTAAGTCTTGTTGTATATATGTCTTTCACCCTTTGACCTAATAGCAGTTTTTGTGCAACCATATTTACCAACATGTATGCTGTTCGTCTGTGTAGAAGAATTAAAAATCTCCCCCTTCAATTCTTACCTGCCAGCAGAACAAAGATTTGAGACTTCTCAATGCAGATTCTAACAGCAGCCAGATGACACTGTAGAAGTCACTGGTTTCCTTTTTGAAAAACTGTATATATAAAGAAAAAACAGAACAAGATTGTTAATTGCCAAGCTGGAGAATTAAGATATCTGAATCCTTGAGAGTTTCTTGTCAACTAATATTCAAGAATACTGTGCCATAGAAAAGTGGAAAAATTACTTAAATCAAACTTCATGATGTCATACAACATTCCTTTCCTTTTTGCTATAGCAAAAATCTCATTACAAAGGCCTCCAATTTTAAACTGGGAGTCACAACTTTCACAAAAATGGTACTGAGGACTTGACATTCATACAATGGCTATCTTAGGGGATATAAAACTATTACAAAGCACTAATTTATAGACTTTTAACTGCTGTCCTGAAAACCAGAAGGATGATCTTTGCTTTTCCTTCTTTTCCTGAGGATACTAAATGCAGCAAGCCATCATTTTTCTTTTCTACAAAAATGTATAGGTCTCATTTGGGGTCCAGAAGCATTATTGAAACCTGATATTTTGCTCTGATATGAAGCAAAGCAACTTCTTAATTTAATGCAAAAGAATCAGATAGGACAGGGAGTCTTATGGGCACCAAAAAAGGTCTTCTCCATGCACACAGAGGCCTGTGGATGACATGTTGGAGATTCCAGCATTGGATAATTATGGATTTTATGCCACACTGTTAGTTAAGCCCTAATGCCCTAGAGACAGGAATTCCTTTGAATTGTGGACACAAAATAACATGACACAAATTTCTTCATCCTTCTGCTGTTAAGAAGGACCGGGCAGAAAGCTATCACTTAAGGGCTTAATTTTCTGTATTTTGTCAAAAGAGCTAAAAGTTCCAGCAAAGTATTAATTCATTCTGCTAACCCTTGAAAAGCATCACAACGAGATGCTTCGCGAGGCTGTCATCTTGGAGGAGGCAGGATGAGCAAAGCACACCCGTCGGAGCAGAAGAAGTTTATGGACAAGAAGCTATCATTAAAACTAAATGGAGGTCGGCATGTTCAAGGGATATTAAGAGGTTTTGATCCATTCATGAATTTGGTGATAAATGAGTGTGTGGAAATGGCACCTGGTGGACAACATAACAACATAGGGATGATGATAATACGAGGAAACAGCATCATTATACTAGAAGCCCTGGAATGAGTATAAAAAAATGAAGTACTGGCTCTTACTACAGTGTGGGCAATTTTTATTATTGTTGGTTCTACAGGAGCATTCCATGTTTACATTTTTTAAAAAATAAATTGGTAAAAATTGGTAAAAAAAAAAGAAAAGAAAAGAAAAGAAAAGTCAAGTCACAATGACTGATCTCAACATAGACTTCTATAGGGACTCCTCAAAATAGATGTTCCTGCTACATACAATGATGCTATGAGGACAGGACACCAGGTCAGGAGCAGATCAGCATAATTAATTTGCCTGGAAAGGATTAATGCAGTAGAGTTCTGGATTGATAAAAACTTAAACAAAATAAACAGAATAATGGAAACTTCCACATACTGAGAATTAGAAAAGGCGAGGCCACAATACACTTTTTTCTCATGGATGTTTTTTTATATATATACCTGCATTTTCTCTTCACAGAGAAGCATACAATTCACATCTCCAAGCACTCCGATCTACAGCACAGATACTGAGAGCCAGCCTATTTTCCCCACATGCAGAATCATGATCTGCATTTAGTGATAGGAAATACATTACATCTATACTTCAGTGCACAAATATCATTTTCCATCTGACAGGTTGAGCTGAATAGATCATCGTCAGGTTTTCAGGTTGAATTGCTCAGATGCATTTGAGATAATATGACTCATCAGTATGCATCTGGTGCCCTCCAGATATGTTTGCATGTTAAATGCTACCCAACGAATAGCAAATTCATTTCCAAACGGGGTTCCTTCCATAACTGAAACCAGGATCTCATGTTTGAAGGATTCCAGGAGTTATGAAAATATCAAAAGCTTTTATAGATAGAAAATTAAAAAGATAGCATGCTCAGCTGCCAGAAAATACCATACAATTTAAGAAGAAGAAGAAGAAAATTGAGAAGAAATCATATATCTTGGAAGGGTATAACTTAAAGAGGAACTTCACACTTCAGATATTATAGTTCCCACTTATTATTTCTTTGTAAATCACCTCTTTTCCCCATACCTTTTTAACAGAAAACAGAGATTAACAGAGATTTAACAGAATCTATTTGTGGATTGCAAGTAGATTGGCAAGTTCATCCATCTCTACAATGCATATAGCATTGCTATCATTTAATGAATAATTAAATATAATAATACTGGAGGCACTCATAAAGATGGATTTGATAGGGTTAAAGTTGCCTTCATTCCAATGATCAAACTTTCACTTTAACAAACCAAGATATAAGCAAGAAAGGAGCTTCCTGCTTCTTTCACACATGCTTCAATTACCCAAGGCCTGCAGTTTTCTCTAAACTGAAAACCAGGTTTATAATTTCTAAACCATCCAAAATATAAAGTTACTGTTACACTAGCTCCTAAATCCCACTTTCTTTGGAAACAATAAATGTTCATTCTAGTTCCTATGAAACAGATCCTTCCTGGTCTATTTCAAGGGAAAAGGATAACAAGGAAGCTGCCTATAGGAACATGACATTTTTGCATTCCTCAGTTTATTAATTTGAGATGTGATTATTGTATCTCTATTTAGCTTCTCTTTCAGCATTGGGTAGTTTGGTATTTAATTATAAGAAAATATTCCCATTTTAGTTTTCTTCATGGCACAACAGCATCCCCTAGTGTTTGACAGAAATATTCCTGCAAAGATTTTAACAAATGGAATTTCTTCTGTATAAGTAGTAATCATTCTCCAATGCCAATGGAGTCTCTTCCCCTCCTGTTTTTGAGTGCACATTGCTTTTATTCTTTCCCAATTTCTTCTCTATTTTCAGATTTCCTTAAATAATACTCTGCATGAATTTGGAGTGCAAAATCTACTTTGCACCCATTAGTTCTTACAGCCACATTAATTTACAGCAAAGTGAGAAGAAATTTTCTCATACTGGAGATGTAGGACTGAAGCTGAAATAAATAAGGTGATGTTGGGAAGGAGCAGAAGGTCCTTTCAAATTTCAGATTTGCTCTCTCAGATACAACACCCAGTGAGATTTTTTCCCAAAAGACTCCCTTTTACAAAATGCCAGCTTCTTGTAGCTTACCTGTAAACATTCACAAACATCCTCTTTCATTGATACAGTAGCTTAATGGAAGACACCAAAGCAAAGTTCTTTGCAATAATTTCCCTGACACTCTTCAAGATATGATGGGGAAACCAGCCTGGAACATCCTTACCTGAAGTGCCCCACCAACCGGTACGCTCACACAGAGAGGGCCTCCTCAGGGTGCCGTCAGCCAAACAATGTAGACTGGCGACCCCCTTCTCTGTGGGGCCCCTGCCCTCTGGAATGAATTGCCCCCAGACATACGGAGGATCCCCGACCTCCGCGCCTTCCATCGTGCAGTGAAGACTCTGTTATTCCAGCAAGCCGCTCTGATGGGATAAATGGTTTTAATTTGGTTTTAATGGGGTTTTAAAATTGGTTTTAAATGAGAGTTTTAAATTCGGCCTATGATTTAATTATTTTAATCTGCTTTTAAATTCTATTTTGTACACTGTTTTATTATGGCTGTTCACCGCCCTGAGTCCTTCGGGAGAAGGGCGGTATATAAATTAAATTAAATAAATAAATAAAATAAATAAGATATTAAGATTTTCTGGTCACTGAAATAATGTAAATACTTATTTTTGCCATTTTTTAATGTTCAGTTCAACATTATAGTGTTTCAATAATCAAGGAGATACATATTCATAAGATGAACCAGTAGCTACATGAGATACTTAATATTGCAGGTGTAATTTATTTGATTTATAGCCGGCCATCTTTCAGGAGTTCAATGCATTATACCTAGCATCCCCTCCTATTTTCCCTACATCAACCCTATGAGGTAGGTTGGTCTGAGGTGGTGACTGGTTGAAAGTCATCTAGCCAGCATCCATACCACAGGGAGGAGTCTTCATAGTTGATAATCTTAGCCACCACACTGCCCTGGAATTGTATGCATATGTATATTCATTTATAGATGACTGCATGTGAACCCAGACAGATAATCTTATATGAAATACCTTGGGAATAGCTACAGAAGCAAATTCAGGCATTTGAGGAATAAAACTAGACGGGTTTGATTTAAAATTAATTATCCTATTTTATCTGGCTAGCTTTTCGCAGCAAACAATCAACACAGATTTAGTAAAATATGCATTTGTAAATAAACTGTTTTAAAACAACATTTTTAAAAACCAAGAAGCAGACAATTTTAGGAAACAATGCAGCACACAACAGGTGAATTAATCCATCTGCATTTTTATTCTAGTTCACTCTGGAAATAAAGTGTTTCTATTTTTTCAATTCACAAATGGTTTCTCGATTCTGAACAAAACTAGCCTAAAGGAAAAAAGCACACTTTTAAGTGGCAAAGGAAGAAAATGCTGTTAAATGTTTTACTACTGTTACAAAATCCAAATCTTTTCATTAATTCATTGCTATGGCTTTGGAAAAAAACCCCTGCAATTTTCAACTACAGATTTCTTGGCTGAATTACTCTTTGCTCTTATGTTCATAATAGTTCACGATTACTGGATGATTACTGAATGTTCAGGTCATAATCAACTCCTTGTCACCAGCTAAGGATTAAACCTGGTATTAAACCCTAAAAATAGCAGTAGGAAAATGAGCCTGACTGCATTCCATTTTTAGCACCTGGAATGTAATTCAGTCATTGCCTGATTCTTTTTTCAAGATGACACTCGATTCCATTAAAGCTTCAACAGCATCAGAAATAAAATTATTTCACTGCTCTTTAACCATGCCCCCCCAAAATAGACTCAAGGAAAGTAAGCCAAGGTTCCTTGTCTCCCTTTAGAACTAGTAAACAGAATTTCATTTATATCTTCATGATCTGCTTTCCCAAACAAAATCCAACCAGGTCAGTTAGGGTGGGCATATGCCTTGCCCCTTCCCTTCAACATTGCCTCTTATACCCTTCAAACCTTCCAAAAAGCATGGAAGACATGGCTTTTCCTCCAATCCCTGGAATAAGGTGAGGTGGAGCGAGAGAATTTAATGAGACTGTATGTTGGAAGTTTAACTTTGGTGCAAGTTTTTAAAGTTTATGCTTTTAATAGATTTAATATGGTACCATGCTGTTTTATTATTGATATTGTTGTAATTGTTGATTGGGAACCTCTCAGTTTTATATAAGATGTGAAAGGTTATAAATGTTTTAAATAAATAAATATTTTCCTATTGTTCTGCCCCAGCTCCAAATCCCAAGGAGTGTGACACACACAAAACTCCAAAAACTCCATTTAATACAAACAGACCCCTTTCAAAATGCAGGCTTCCAGTGCAAATGTCTTTATCAACCTGCTATGAATTACAGAGAATAAACAAAGTCCGACAAAGGTTGGCAAACAGCCCAGAAACCAAGATATAACAAGAAACTCACTCTCAAAATGCTCTGTGTAGTAATTAAACGTTGTTTCCAGCAGCATGTGCTATCTGTGAGCGAGCTTAAATAGGCTAAGGGAATGGCCAATTAAACCTCCTCCTGAGTAGCCACTCCTGCCTTTTGGCAGCCCTGCATGCTCGAGCATTGAGAAGAGACTCCTCCACTTCACTCTCTCCACTTGAAGGAGCCTCTGGAGGTTCTGAAGGCCCTGGTTGAGTCTCTGCCTCTGGCACCACATCCTCTTCAGCCTCCTCGCTGTCCGACTCAAGCGCCGGCTGCACAGGCTGCTGGCGCGACACCAAACCAGCCTCCTCGTCGTGGGGATCAGCCACAATCCGTGCAGGCCGTTGGCGGGCCACAACACCTATAAACTGATATTGGAGTTCTTAATATGGCACCCCAAAACTCCATAAATGTATTTCATGTGGGAGAGTTAATAAAGCCCCCTTTCCCCTTCTTAGGAGTAGTTGCTATAAAGTAGTTACCGCAAAAATCCTTGGCAATGTTTACAACTTTCATCTTTTTTTTTCCCCCAGAGTAGCAAAGTTTTTCACAAGAAGGGTCACTAAATGAATGTTGCAACTCTATACTACTGACTTCATCATTTCTTGTCAACTCTTACTATCCTGAATATACTTGCAGCATTATACCTGAGAAACCTGCATCCTAGGCATTTAATATTTACTACTATTTCTTGGAAATGTTTAACAAATGTGTGTTTCCTGATTTATCAATTTTATCAGTAAGAAAGCCACTCTGAAGGAGGAGTGGGATGATGGATTACAATGAAGCGGCAGGAGATTCCAAGGAGAAGAGTGAGACAAGAGACAATACAGCCTGGAGCTAGATCAGAGAAGCAGGGAAGAGATTTAGGACAGTCACTCTCTAGAATCTCCCAAGGTACATTTGTTAGCAATAAATGTTTACACGGGCAAGAGTCCGTCTATATAGTGTGAACAAATAAAGAACTGAACTTTGGCAGCACTATTCTATATTGTTCTTGAGCTGGGCATGACACACACACTTTTTCTGTTAATACATAAGTACATATGATGAAAATGTTGTGGATATATGCTATCTATTTAGACACAAGATAACAATTTTCCCCTCTAGAATATTTACACAATTCTCAATTTCTTCCTTATATGATTTATCCAACCATTGTCCTGCCAATTGCTCTGCCATATTGTTCAATCCAAGTCTACCTGAATCACCATTGTATTGATGAAATATATATTCTCAACAACACAGAAATATATTACATAAAGAAACGGGCTCAATGTTTCCTCCAGAAATTACTTTTTGTTATTTGCTATGATGTTTATGAAAAAAGTACCTTCTCTTTTTGATATACACAGTACAGCTAAAATATTATACTTCTAAACTGGTGATAGTAAACATTATGGACAGAATCTTGTATTTTGAGATTGAATCCACCTAAGCAAATAAAACCAATAATGCAACGAGAAAGAAAGAGGCAGTAATATTGCTTATTTAGTATTTAGTGCAGTTACTGATAAAGTTTAGCTGTAAGCTTCCAGAGTTTAGAATTTTAGTGGCTTATTAAATCAATAAATACAAGTGCAACAGTAAAAGGAACATCCTTCTGTTAACTGCATTACCCTACCATAATGTAATAGCAACTGTGTATTTGTAATAGCAACACACATATATCCAAACAGAAGAAATCAAATATTATTTTGAAAAGCCCATACAAAGTTATTCACCAAGGAAAAGAGACAGTCCATAGGTTACAAAGTGTTTCATGACATGAAAATATTTATTAACACTAGTCCTTCAGTAACTTCAAAGCAGTACCAGCTCTGATAATGATGTTTTATTCAGGTAACCAGGTCTTAACATTTGTTTGGTGTGACATTTTGTGTATTTTAGTGCGTCTTAAGAATTTCATTAAAATATTTTGAAACAAAAGCTGTTTCACAGCTTCCTGCCATGATGTGGGTTTTAGATATCGGAGGATAAGTTTCATGACAAAAAAACAGTCAGGTCCCTAATATTTCAGGAATGTGTTCTACTCTATTTTATTTTCTGTCCCTTTCATTTATGTCTCGTCTCGCCCCTCCTTGTACAAATCAACTCCAAGATCTTAAGTATTTTATTCATTGAACATTGTTAGTGCATTATTAAGGGATGTGGTGGCTCAAAGGGAGAGGTGGCCCAGTGGCTAATATGCTGAGCTTGTCGATCGAAAGATCGGCAGTTCAGCAGTTCAAATCCCTAGTGCCGTGTAATGGGGTGAGAGCCCATTACTTGTCCAAGCTTCTGCCAACCTAGCAGTTCGAAAGCACATAAAAAATGCAAATAGAAAAATAGGGACCACCTTTGGTGGAAAGGTAACAGTGCTCCGTGTGTCTTTGACATTTAGTCATGACGGCCACATGACCATGGAGACGTCTTCGAACAGCGCTGGCTCTTCGGCTTTGAAATGGAGATGAGCACCGCCCCCTAGAGTTGGGAACGACTAGCACATATGCGTGAGGGAAACCTTTACCTTTAGTGCATTATTAGGAAGCAATTAACTTACATTCATCTGCACATTATACAGTAGAATAAAATACAAGTATCTCAGAGATACCATCCTGAACGTAATTTCTTTGTTCAGTTTTTACAAAACATTTCAAAGAAACTTTTAAGTATCTGTTTTAAAGAAAATCTGTTACAATTTCCATGACTCAAAAATCACAAAAACCCTACCAAAAGATTAATAAGGCTGCTATAAAGAGAAAATTGATTGTAAGAGTTGACACAGGCATGATACTACAGGCATTGAAATTGGATTATATAAAACATGCACAAAGTAGCCAGGTTTAAGTGTTCCAAGTAAACCAGAACTCATGAATTCCTGTCCCTGGTATGCATACCAGGGACAGGAGTTCTTGGGTGGGTGACAGCAGGAGAGTGGGAAAGCAATTGGCAGAAGAACATAGTAGTAGCTAAGCAAACTAAGGGGAAAGGAAAATTAAGGGTAGCAATGGGGGATGTGGACATATGTCATGCTTGAATTCAAGTGCAGTCATGGCTAAGTATAGTTGGATAAGGCAAGTATAGTTGGACTGATGCACAAGCCACATGAGAGAAGAGACTGTAGACGAATAAGGTATATCAGTTTTGCCCCATTCAATTCAGTCCATCAGTCTGAAATTTGTTATGGCTGAAACTTGGAACAACCAAGGTGATCCCAGCATAGAACAAAATACATTCTCCATTTCATGCACGCATCTAAACTAAATTAAAACTAAATTTAGATCTATAAGGAAGACTTAAAATTGCCAAAGTATGGATGAAACAAATTATATGATTTCTGAATATGGGAAATTAGGTGGCTTAGAAGGATCATTTTATGATTATAACTTATATTTTTCAGGATTGGACCAAAGGAATATCCTCAGAAAACTTCATTCTGTACATACCCGCACACACACAGATAGTAGAATTCTATATGAAAACTGTGTTTACGTTGTCATTCTTAGCATAGAAAACAGTCACAACTTCAAGCTCCTGCTTTTGTACTTAATAACTCCTTTGTTTTACTTTCGGGAACAGCAAATGAGATCAGATTCACGCAGGTAAGGTAGTGTTTTCTCCATGCTCGCCTATGAGCACTACTACTTCTACCACGTTTACTAAGTTTCCCCAAATCACCGGTTGCTGCAGTAACAGCAGCAGCAGCAGCAGCAACAACACCCCCTCTGCCTCTTGTGATGCTTCCTAACAGCGGCCCAATATATAAAATCGGTGGGCAATTCCCACGTCTCCGAACCCACGCTTTAAAACTACGCACCGCGCCTGTAGCTGTGCCTTACCTCATTCAAAGGCGCGCGCCGCAGCTTGAAACACGATTTTTAAAAAAAATTTAAAAATGAGACATCCCGAAGCGTGGACTGGCTCATGCCTATCACGTGACGGGCAACAACCAATAGCTTTTACACGGTATTCTCTTAGCTTTCCAGCACTTGCTTGTGATCTCAGAGGGGAAAGTGAGCGTGGTTGCGTTCTTTCAGATGTAGCAGGGATCGATCAGTTTGGATGGGAGATTCGCAGGAGACCCCAGGACGGGCGACTATCCCGGGGAAATAAATAAATAAATATTCTGGGAAATGTACTAGTAGAGAACCACTTCTGAATTCTTGCCAAAAGAAAGAACATTTGCCTGTCTTTTAATAAGCCACTAATCCAGTGTTTCTCAACCTTGGTAGCTTGAAGATGGGTGGACTTCAACTCCCAGCCCTAATCTATTCCATGGTACGGGAAAATACTAATAAAAGACATATGCGATTAACAAAATTAAGGAATGTTTGAAACCGATCCCTCAAATTCAAATTGAATAATTCCCCCCCCCCTATGATTTTTCCGGGCAATTGTACGGTAAATATTGTAATCGAGACGTCGCTCCGCAATTTTTTTATTTACATTTCCGCTTCGCCTGAACTACAATTACCAGGATGCATCGGGACATCGATTTAGCAAATAATGGGTTGTTGTTTTTTTTTAAATCTTGCGGTGCATCTTGGAATTTGTAGTTTCAGCCTTTCTTTCGTTGCCATTTCCGGAGAGCCTGAAGAGTGGAAAGCTTGAAGGGCGCAAGGATTGTGGGGCGGCTAGAGTGTTTTTCTTTCCCGTACTGCAACGTAAGAGAGAGGTATTGGGTCGGAATGTATTTATGGGAAAGGACGGGTGGCAATTAATTTTTTTATCTAAGCCGGGGGGAAAGTAGAAGCATCTGCTGCTTGTAGCAAAAGGAAAACGGGGGTGCTAATTAATTAGACCATTATTTTTAGGATTCACAACCTCTGTAATAGGTTACACAACCTAATACACAACCTATTACAGAGCACCCTACAGCATGGTTTAACAGTATAAAATTTCATCTAAATGACACTATCTACCTAACTAACCAAGACAGCTCAAAAAGCTGAATAGGATTAGATCTGCTTAATATTTGAAAGAGACCATCGAGATATACTAACTAGAGCTATAGATCAGTTCAAAGTTCAAAGCCTTTATTGTCATTGTATGTATCATTTATACAGCGAAATTGGTTTTATTCTTGTATGGACTACTGGTGCAGTCCATACAAGAATAAAAGAATAATCCTTATACAAGTAGTTAGAGGGAAAAAAAACCTAGTCATATGTTTCCATATGTACGTCATATTCTGTGCAACATGTATATTACTCCGGTGTATGATCTTATGTCGTGGTATATAAATATTACACACTACACTGGCACCAGTGAAATTAGTCATATTAATCTGTTTGTGGTGCTATATTGTGTTTAGGTGTATGAAGTAAAAAAACAAAGTAAAATGAGAAGGCAAAGGCAACTGTAGTCACCAAGAGTAAAACTTGATTCAGAAGTGATTTTACTATGAACTATAAAAACAGTACACTGTTGAATCACAGATAAAACCTCGGATGAAATCACAGTGTGTCTCCCGTAACCAAATGAAGCTTGAGCAAAATCTTTGTAAAGTTCTCTCAATGACCCAATAATATCACTTGCCAAAGTCTCATTCTCTCTTACATAGCTCAGCTTCAGGTCCAACTATAGGGACAGTTGTATAGATGCAACAGTTTTTCAAATAGCCTGGTTGAACAGTCCCACTTGCAATCTGAAATGATTACAACCCAAATAACAGTTAATATCTCATTCAGTCCTAGGCCTAATATTAACACTCTGGGGGTGGTTTCAGAGCAAGTGTATCCTCCACTTTTGGAGATAGGAGGAGGGATGAGCTCTACCCTCACATTGTTATGTCTGTCTGTTATGTATGTGGAAGCTGGCTATTCGATTTAAAATTTTGCAGGATTGAGTTTCTGAACTAAATGGAGCATCCCTTCAAATAAGGCAAGCAGTCTGCTGAAGACTACCATCCTTTATTCCCTTGTAAAATGCCTAATGCGTCATCTAATTGCCAGCTAAAGATGAAGAGAAATTATGAAGGTGGCCAAATACTGAAATTAGCTACATGATAATTTATTTCTTTATTGGTATAATTTGAATATTTAGCATGACAAAATAATTACAGATCTAATATCGAAAGGTCAAAGCAAGTGAAAATATTGCCTTGCCTGACTTCTCATATTCATAACTGTCACTTGTCATTTGCAGTTGCTAGTAATAGATATTTAAATAACTGGGGGTGCTGTTTTGGGCATACATGTAAGTATACATGCCCACAACTTGAAACATTTTGATATTCCTTCAGAGAGGCATTTGCTATTTTTTAGAGGAAGCCATTTATATCCTGAGGCATTGGTGTTTTTTTTTAAAGAAATATGACTTGTTTTAAGGAAATAGAATGTCTTTCCGCATGAAAAATGGAATCTCTTTACATAATACAGTCAATAAATCCACATGCAGAAGCTGACTTTTACAGGCAGTTGGTATTTGTTGGGTCAGAAGCAATAGTAAAAAATGTAATTTTTCCTCTTTGCATGCTACATTATTTTGACATTCACCTGCCTTCTTGCACAGCCCATCTCACATAATAGAATAAAGTATTCTTTATTGCCCAAAATGCAATGCATTAGATGCAGACTTGATGTTCTGTAAATGGATGTGCTTCTTCCTTTTACTCAAAGAATATTCTGGTAGAAGAAGGGAGTGGTAGCCCAAGCCTCTGGAGTTAATCATGGGGGAGAGGTGTGGGATGAGGGGGAGAATCTGTGAAGTTTGTCTTGTTTTGCAAAATTTGGTTAGCCAAAATCCACATCTAAGAAGACTAGCTTCATCTTCTATTTATATGCAAATAAACCATTCTTTCCTCCCCAATAAAAGTATGCTGATTTAAATAATTGAATTAAAACTCTGTTTCCATATTGATATATAATTCCTGTGCAGGAAGACATACACTAATTATTTTGCTCTAACAAATTATATACATATAATTATGCATTATTTTCTCTTTGAAGTCAGCTGGATGTAAAATGTTTTAACTATATATAGATTGCACTTTAAATATGCATGCTAATTTTTATGATGTTCTAGTTTTAGAAATTAGGCTCTTCTCTAATTTCTTCAGCAAAAAGTGTCTTAATTGTAATAGATGACTCATTAGTATATGCATGTTTTATATAAAAAGCAGATTTTATTTTAAATCAAGAGGGTTTTTTAAAAATTTTCTTTCAAATGCAGTCCGATATAGATTAATTTAAAAACTAGTCTCGTTAAATTTAATAGGACCTATTGTCAGATAGAATTGCAGCTTAATACAATTTATTTTTAAAAAATTAACATTTACATTTTAAATAAGGTGGGAAAACAGAGTAACATGAGCAACCTAGAACTAAGGAGAAATTTCTGACAGTGAGAAAGTTAGTCAGTGGAACAACTTGCCTCCAGAAGTTATGGGTGCTCCAACACTGGAGGTTTTTAAGAAGAGATTGGATCACCATTAGTCTGAAATGGTTTAGGATTATTTAGGATACCCCATGCTTGAGCAGGGGGTTGGACTAGAAAACCTTCAAGGTCCCATCCAACTTCGTTAATCTGTCTCTTTAACATGTGCTGACCAAATTGTGTATTTTTCCCCTCCTTTTTTCCTCATTGAATTTTTTTTTTTTTTTTTTAGTTTTCTCATTGGCATCTTTCAGTCTCAAGAGACTTTGGCTCTAAGGGCAAACCTATGGCACGCGTGCCACAGGTGGCACGCGGAGCCATATTAGTGGGCACACCAGCTCAGCTCTGGGGCGCATGCGCGCGCCAGCCAGCTGATTTTCGGGCCTTCTGGGCCCACCAGAAGTAGGGAAACAGGCTGTTTCCTGCCTCTGGAGGGCCTGGGGCGGGGGAAGGCCAGTTTTTCTTTCTTACCTGGCTCCAGATTCTCTCTGTGTATCTGGGAACGGCGAAAACAGCCTTTCCCACTCCCTTGGAGGCCCTACGGAGGCTCAAAGGGCCCATTTCCCCACTCCCGGTGGGACAGGAAGTGACTTTTTTCCTGTCCCCAGCCTCCAGAGACTCCTAGAGAGGCTCCTAGAGACTCCTAGAGAGGCTCCTAGAGACTCCTAGAGAGGTTCTGGAGGCTGGGGACAGCAAAAAATGTCACTTCCTGTCCCACTGGGAGTTGGGAAATGGGCCTTTTCAGCCTCCGTAGGGCCTCCAAGGGAGTGGGAAAGGCTGTTTTCGCCGTTCCCAGATACACAGAGAGGATCTGGAACCAGGTAAGAAAGAAAAACGGGCCTACCAGGCCATCATGTGCCAGGAGCGGGGGGGAGGGAGGAGGGGGTTGCGCACACATGCGCGCAGGCACGTGCGCGCGCGACCCTCCCCCGCCCCACCCTCCTGGCACGCAATGGCAAAAAGGTTAGCCATCACTGGACTATGGTATCGTGCTCTGAAAAAAGGTCCTAAAACAGCATCTAGTGTGACTAAAAAGGCCAATTTGAGAGTGGCAATCCCTTCCACATTGAGGACAGATACGTTCTGTCCCCTGCCCAGCCCCCAGATTTCACTGGTTCCGGGACTGCCTCTTTGCCTCAGCCTGCCGAATAAGTGTCTCTTTGAATTGGAGAAGGCCATGCTGCGTCTTTAGCCTCCAAGCTGAACGATCCGAGGTCAAGGTTTCCCAGTTGTTAATGTCCATTCCCAGGGCCTTTAGGTCCCTCTTGCAGATATCCTTATATTGCAGCTGTGGTCTCCCTCTGAGGCGCTTTCCCTGCACGAATTCTTCATACAAGAGATCTTTCAGAATCCAATCATCAGCCATTCTCACGACATGCCCCAGCCAGCGTAGACGTCACTGTTTCAATAGTGTATACATGCTAGAAATTCCAGCACGTTCCAGGACATTAGTTTTCTATGACTTTAACAAAGGGAGTATTTTCTGATTAGATTAGCAAAGGTAACAGTCCAGATCTGGCAAATATCATGCCAATTTTAGATCCAGCAGATGCAAGTCAGCACCGATCTAATTCTGAAATGTCCATTTAAGCTTATTTTTGAAACCATATTAGGGGAATTTTCTGCAGCCAGGCAGGACAGCCATTCTGATTCAATGTGCAAAGTGTGCATATATAACACCTGCTGGAAACTTTTACCCAAGATATGTCTTTCTCTCATATAGTGCTGCTATTGAGGGCTGTCGGGAAAACCTGGGGCGGCGGGGGGGGGGGGGGGCTGCTTTAAGATGTTGTCAGTAGGTGCTTTGTGGACATCTGCACATCACCAATCACATTTTGCCCTTCAAATCAAGATTGCAACACAGCCCTGGTTCGCCGCATATTTATGTTCATGGAACACTTTATTGATGGGTGTGTGTGTGTGTGTGTGTGGAATATAGGATACTAGTGAAATCCTTGTGTCCATTTAGACTGGGAAAATTGTGAGTCTTAACATTTTAAACTATACATGTCCCTGAATTTCCACTATGACCAAATTATCCAATTTCCAAAAAAATACTTTATATATATTTATTATTTATTTTGTTTTATCAACAAGAGTAAAATACAAAACAAAAAAATAAAAAATTTAAACACTAACAAAAAAAAGAAAAAAAAAAAGAAAAAGAATAACCCAAAGATCAAATAAATCTAACATTAAACATAAAGAATCTACCCTGTCTGGATGTTGAAGAGAAAATAATAAAAAAAACTGCTGGATTTTCCTCCACTTATTTAATGGAGCTACAAATAGTAGTAAGCTTTCCCATCCTTATTTAATAAAAAATACCATATTAAATAAACAAATATTCCAGATGGTAAAGTCTGTAATAATCAAATCAACTCAATCAATTTCCAAAAAACTTCATCAAAAAGTTCCCAGGGAGATGGATCCAAAACCACAGTTCCTGATAAGCCAGCGTTCTATATTATGTTCTCAAAGAGTATTGTGAGCATTGCAGCCCAGCACATTTGGTAGGCATTCGGTTGAAGTAGGCAGTTTTATAGTATTTTTCTGGCTTGCAAAAGAAAGAAGATAGGATTTGAGGAGTGGTGGAAATTTCTAGTCAAATGTCTGTAGCCAAGTATGATTCTCATTATTTATCACAAGAGGCCTGATTTGGCCTTTTATATGCAGTGTTGCAGCATAAGTCATATATTGCATGAACATCTTAAGAAGCAAGTCTTCCTAATATTTGTGGCACTTATTTCTGAGAGAAAAAAATACTATTAGTATCATCGGTCAGTCAGATATGAACTTGTTATATAGTAGGATGGTGTTGGTGGTGATGATCAGAGTGATATGATTTGATTAACTTGTTTAGTAGAACATGCTCAAATATCCCAATTTCTTTGCATAGGTAGTGACCAGCACATGGGCCTTAGAGACTTTTGGAAGAACTACCGAATTTTCATTGTTACAGGAACTGGCATGGTGCTAATACATTGGGGATGGTATAAAATCAAGTCCAATCCCCTTTTTCAACCAAAAAAAGAGGACTATTATGAAGACTCTGACATTGTGAGATATGTGCTGCAGCAGGACAAAGAAAATGAAGGGAAATAATTGTAAACTGCTACAGAATGATTTAAGAGGTAAGTACAGAATCATTAAAAGGCAACAAAAATACAGGTGGTCCTTGACTTATGACCAAAATCGAGCCCAACATTTCTGTTGATAAATGAGGCATTTGTTAAGTGAGGTTTGCCCCATTTTACAACATTTCTTGCCACAGTTGTTAAGTGAATCACTGCAGTTGTTAAGTTAATGATGCAGCTGTTAAGTGAATTTGGCTTCTGTTGTGGTCCACTGGTGGCTTGCGGAGCTGGCAGCAGAGCCAAACAGTGAGGAGGCTGGGAAGGAACATGGGCCAATCCTGCAGTCTGGGTAAGGCTCGGATGAGGGCTCTGCGTCGGAGGCAGAGATGAGGCCAGGGCCATCTGGGAGTTATGTGCGGACTCTGGAGCCTCCAGAGTTGGACATCAGCGAGGCAGAGAAACGGGGATATCCTGTTTCCAGTGCATGCATGCGCAGAGCTGCCAGAAGGCAAGAACAGTTAAAACAAAAGGGTCGACTTGGGAGTAGGGCTTGGAGATGATTGGCCCCTCCCCATAAGACATAAAGGAGGAGCAACTGTTGTTCGTGCTGGCCAGTTTCAAGACTGCAGCTCAGTGTTGACTCTGTGTTTCCGTGTGGCCTTGCAAAGTTAATTGCCAATTAGGTCTTGGCAGTGTGTCAAGGGAGATTAAGGTGGGTGTTTATCAGCCTTATCAGAAGAACTGTGGCAGACTTCTGTTGGACTCTTTACCACTATTTGGGACTCATCTGTGAATGAACAGATTGAGAATGAATGGGCTCTGAATGAGCAGAATTCCGAGCTGTTGAAATAAAAAGAGGGTTTTTGGGACTCACTGTGTGCTTTTACTGTATCAGGAAGCCTAGGTCAGAATAGCTTCCCCATTAACTTTGTTTGTCAGAAGGTTGCAAAAGGTGATCACATAACCCCAGGATACTGCAACCGTCATAAATATGAGTCAGTTGCCAAGCACCTGAATTTTGATCACATGACCATGGGGATGCTGCAACCATCATCAGTGATGGTGATGTGAAAAACGGTCATAAGTCACTTTTTTCAGCACCGTAGTAACTTTGAATGGTCACTAAACAAATTATTGTAAGTCAAGGATTACCTGTACAACCATTAAGTCAACCAAAGGAAATGTTGATGAACAGCTAATCTCTTTAATTTCCTACACCCTGTTGTAGTATTGCTGCCTCTTCTGGCAGAACTGTGGTCTGGAGTCTCCCTGTAGGTGGCATAGTAATAATCAGCAGTAGATGGCCTTCATTGTCAAACCATAAGGAAGCTTTCCTAATATAGGCATACATGTCAACATTGCAACTTCTGTGTGTAAATCCTAAAACCAGGAAATGAACTGGCAAACCAGTGGTGGGATTCAGCCGGTTCTGTCCGGGTCACACGAACTGGTAGCAGCGACTGTGGGAGGCTCCGCCCACCCGCCCGAATGTAATGCATGATTACTGCGCATGCTCACATTTGCAAATCGGTAAGGAAAGTAAGTGAATCCCACCTCTGGCAAACAGACAGCTAAGGATCTGCTTTGCTGGCATGGCATAGAATTTTCTCTTGGAAAATGAGGATTAGTAAAATTTAGCAGAACCAGGGACTTTCTGATCTGGAGATATTGCTTCTGCCAGCAGTTCATTAATTGGCCTCAAGCAATTCATTTTGTCTGAATTTCATCCTGTTCTCGGAAAAAAACCACAATGCAGTATAGAATTTTGGGAAAAAGATTTTGGAAAAAAGCATACGGATTTTAAATACTCAAAATGGACAAATATGTAAGATAATATATTATAATTTGGTGCTTTGGCCAGGATTAATTAAAGGATTAGGCAAAAATCCTATAGGAACAAATAATCCCAATATTGATTGTCTCTCTTTTTCTCTGTGAAAATTGTATAGTTTGATATCCCATAGCAATGTTATAGGGCCCCCGTCTCCCCCCTCTCTCCTTCCCTCCCCCCCCTCATACACATATACACACATACATATATATGTACCAATTGTGTATATTCATTATACAGTCCTAGCTGGTTAAATTCATCAGCCATTTCATTTTTTAATCACTTTACAATTTTTGTACATGTAGCAGAACCAAAATATTAGGCAATATTCATGTGATGCTGAACAGCTGCAGTTCATCTGCTACCTTGGCAGAGCTATTACGAATGCAGCTTTTGAGCATAATTAATAACAGCACACACTCTGAACTCATTAAAGCAAAATTTGTATCTATGCCCTTATTCAAAATCATGTGTTCTTAACCTGGCTATGTCTGAGCTTTTTTAAAAAAAGCTTTTATATTTTAAGATAAAAGACTGATGCAAATTAACGAAACTATAAAAAGGAAAGGAGACGTTCATAGGTAAAAAAAATAAATAAGGAAAAGGGTATATATAAAAAGTGACTCTCCTTCCAGAAAAGTACAATTTCATTAACATCATCTGTAACATTTCAGTAAAACAAAGATCTCTTCTTTCCATAGCTCAGCCCTAATCAATAATCAAATTATAAAAATTTATCATTCAGTCCTAATCAGCAAAAGTCTACCAAAAGTAATAACATTATATTTGTTATTATAATATATTTCAATTTAAGATCATATATAATAGTTCAACGTAATCAGTCCATTTTGTATTCCAACTTGACACTTTCTCTACTGTAAAGCAAAATAAATCTCTCATTTATGACCTGATCTTTAAAACCTAGTTGTTCAATCCTGGTCAAAAAGAAATTCCATTAATAGCTATCAGAAACCACAACATATATACTGACTCTGATCAAATAAATCCACTTTGAATTCCTTCTGTTTACTTTTCTAGGTCTTTAATCCTGTCAAATAATGTCCCACCAGCTAATTTCTTATCATTTTCTCTTTCTTTCCTCTTAGGAACAGTTGCATTAGTTTAGCACATCCCTTTTATAAATCAAAGATAAGATGAGTTTCCAAGTCACTCTTCTGATTTATTGTTTGTATCTCCCCTTTAATTATTAAGATATCAGCTGGTTTCATTTGTAAATTCTTTGTGGCATCTTTTTCCATATCACACTCATATTCTGGCATTATAAATTCATTTTCAGACCCACAGCTTCTTTTTCCATATTACTTTTGTAATCTGGCATTTTTAAAAAATACTAATCCACATTCAAATCAACCTCAACCTGTTTTATTCAATAAAATCTGTTGTTCTTCTATATCCCACTGTTCCAACATCAGACAATCTTGTAAATTGAGTACAGTGCTCTGAAACAAACTTAATTCTTTTATAGCAAAACATATTGCTCCATTGTATTAATAGGTCTCTTCTCCTTTAATTATAATCCTTAGTTCTCTCAGGTTCGCTCTAGTCAATCTTCAAAGTCCCTTCTTAACATCTGTTACTTTTCCAATCAGTAAAACATTTCCACAGGAGATGGTTTCTTATAGTTAATTTCAAAAGCTTCATGTATTCTTTTATAACATTTTAAACACCCCATAGGAAATATTCTTTCAAGTTCATCTACGCCATTAACTTTCCAAAGTCAATATTCTTTTGCTGTATTCCAAAAATTAAAGTTCAATTCCATGTTAGGGCCAGAATGGCAACATGTCATTCTATGTGGATGCCCCAGTTGGTTTGGGGCATCCTTTAGTTGCCTAAGTTTAATGACTTCTATATATAAATTGGTGCTCTAGCTTTATGCTGTAACAGATAGAGCTAGACAGTTGCGCTAGGGTCTAGGACAACTTGTTGCATGAGGTCAACTCATCATGGGACAATCCATGTGGGATAACTCAACACAGTGAATGTTATCTGCCACTGTTTCGTCTACATTATTTCCATTTTTATCAGTGGAAATAATGTTGAAGAAACAGTAGCAGAACCCTGCGTGGAATTGTCCTTCCATGATTTGTCTTGCTGCAAGTTGACCATGGTGAATTATCCCAGGGCAAGAAGGCTGTGCCAGATTGGTCCATTCCACTTGCACTATTTATTTCATTCTGATTGCAAACGTTGAGGCCTTTTTTCGAAACCACCAAAATTTAGATTCTCTTGCCAATTATTCCTGGGGCAGTTATTAGAAAACAGTGTATGAAAGATCTGGCACAAAAATTGGTAAACCCCCCACCCTCAAAACAGTCATGGTAAAAATCTTGCCTTTTGTAATTTCTCTTTAGCTCGTCAAACCTACAGTTTTCTCCCAAAAAGGACATTCCACATTCCTGGATATTGTATCGTTCAGATTTTTACCCAAGATCTATGATGTGGCTATGCCCTTTTTATTATGTATATACAGTATGTATACATGATGTTCTTTAATACAATGAAATCTGGACTTTCTTGCAATTGACACAAATCCATTTCCAATAAAGTTTAAATTAATCAATGTCATATATATGAAAATATTTTAAATATCACTAAACAGCTTCAAATGATTGCTAAGCTATGAGCTGAGAAAATGTGTAAAAATAACACTTTCATCTGTATACCTCTAAACAGAGAAGAAATAAATCCCTGTAAATCAAAGATTGAGTGCTTTATTGGCAAAAATCCATAACTGCCCACTGTTAATGCTATTTTTTCTGCATGATGCTTATATAAAAGATTACGGTGAGTAATCTGAGTTGGCAAATTATCAATGTTTTCTACCATGCAAAATATTCATTCTATGATTATACCTCATTTTCAGAGGTTGTTTGCCAAGAGTTTTCACTGAAATAAATTGTCTTAATAAATGTATTTTTCTGTGATTATACTATTATAAGATCTCTTTTATTCCCCTCCTTCTTATAGGCATATCTCCTTTATTTATTATAGGTCTCCATCAACAAAAGATGTAAGGCAGCTGGAATAGGAGGAATTGGCTGCCCATGCCTGGATTTTTATTCATTGGTGCCCATGTTGGTATTTACCATCTACCAAAAACAGCAAAGCTTTCTTCAAAAACAGGGCATGGAAATGAACTCAAACGGTCTGGTTGAATGAAACAACTTCAGCAATTATCACATTGATCACATTGTTTAACATCGAATAAGTGCTGTTAAATCCCTTTGTTGTATCGTTGCCTGAGAAGAAAACCCAAGGTCTTGCATGCCTATGTATAATGATAATTAAAAACTGTTTCGTAGAAACAAAACACTTCTAAATCTTGACTGGAATTTTCTCGGGAAAGATGTCTCGGGCTGATGTTAAAAAACCTTCCCTCTGCACCACTGGGCCTTTAACTAAGGAGGTGATTAGCCAGGCTGTTTCCGCATTTAGTAAAATAATGAGGTCCTGCTACGGCCCCACCGGTAGGCTCAAACAATTTCACAATGGCATGGGAGGATACGTTCGTATTTCATCACAATCTTCGGTTTTGCTGAGCAGCCTTTGTGTCACTGTCCCCGTCTTAAAGCTTCTGGTTGCCTCTGTGCAGAATCACCTTGCGCTCTTCGGGGACAGTGGCTTATTTACGGCAATTTTTTGCTGCAGCTTGCTTGAAAAATACAAGAGCCTGAATATTGCTCCGTACCCTTTCATTAAAATTAGCAAACATATTTTGAGCCTATGCATTGACTACCTTTCATCTGAAACCTGTGGTTGCCGAATACCGGTGGACTTCAGCAGTTCTAAGCTTCTCCTTAGCCTGGTGCGCAGTATTATATTGAGCAAACGCGCTTGCATGCTTAGCAGGAAGGAGGCCGATCATATCAGTATATTGGTGTTAAGAGCCTTTCTGTTTACAATCCCCCAAAACGTGGATTCTAGTGCCGTGCTGGGAAAATGCCATTACATACCTGTAAAAAATAAGAGAGTTATGGATTCTACTGTCTATCCTGGACTTTTAATTGAAATGCCAGAAATGCATCTGACTCCGCCTTTCAAAAGAACTGCTTCAGGCCAGATCAAAGTGGCTCTGTTTGGCATGTCTATGTCAGGAGATTTGTCTCATGCCGGAGAAGGAGCCATAGTTATCCATCATGGAATTTCTCTAGAAGCCGAAGTGTTGGATCAGTTACTCAGGGTAGGCAGGGAAGTAATAACTGATGGTGTCGGTCTTGTGATATGCCAGAAGGTCATCCACCCAACCTTGAAACAGTATTTAAAGGAGAACAATATTGTTGCTGTCGAGAGAGTTGGAATAAGAATGATGGAGCCCCTGAAGAAAATGACAGGTAATGAATAAGCTTTCAGACATGATCACTTCAGGATATGATCCACAAGAAAATAGGATGTGACAAACCATTAGCAGAAATCTTTTGTTTGTCAGTTCACTAGCTGTCCAAATTGCAAATGCTAGACTGTTAATTGAGCAATAGCCAGGTGTTTGACCTATCTCTAATCTCATACCATATATTTATTTGCTTAGTTAATGTATTTGGTTTCCCATCTCTTGTGCATAACTTTGGGAGTCTTAACAATTAAAAACAATAAAGAACAATCAACTTTAAAACAACAGAGTTAACATAAAGTAACTTAGCAACTAGGTAGGAATACTAAGTTAACACAAGTAAGACCAAGAAACAAATTCACCCATACTCTTGGTCTCAGACTCAATGGCAAAAGCCAAGTTTTCAAGGGAAGACCACTTGGGGGAGATGAGGTTCCAGAAGGCAAGTCTCATGGCAGAAAAGGCTTTGTTCCTGGATCCCACCAGATGGCGCACTTTTTTGGACAGGACTATGAATATGCTTTTTCCACCAGATCCCACATAATGGGTAGACACCAAATATTTCAACAACTGTTGCTTACCTCTGGTTCTTTTTTTTTAATTGCAGCTCTTGTAAACAATTGCTTGAAAATGAGTGGAACTTTCCATTCCGTAATGATAAACCCTATTAAAGCAAGATATCTTATCACTTGGTCTTCTATTTACACTAATCCATGTGAAGCTCCCTAGAAGTGTCACAAGTGTTAAAGAACAGATAATGGACTACATTTCACAAATCAAAGCGGTTGAATTCACACACTACACCAAACCATAATCAATTTTTTTTCCTTCCCTTATCCTAGGCAATACTATTGAAACATTCCTGACATATTATTTGTATTAAAATAGTTGATATACAACTTCATTGAATAATTCAATTGAAACATCTCTGTGAAAAAATATCCAGGATTTAAAAGACATCAGGTTATTTAAAAAAACATAAACAGCATTAAAGTCAGTCTTGTTAGATCCTAGAATTTGAATCACAATCACACATTTCCACAAAATGTAATTGCATTCAGCAATATTAAGAATAAATCATTTGAAGCACTATCTAATTACTATGCTCAACTGCAACTTATTCATAGCCTTTTTGACATACTTTAACTACAATATTGCATGTAGCTAAGGCAGAATCAAAATTGGCTCCATATAATGTACTAATGAAATGTTAATGAAAATCACTTGTGTTTCAGCCTCTTTGATGGTTCAACTCTCACAGTCATATTTGCATCTGGGAAAACCATGGTGTTTTGTCCATGTCCAAAAAACATTAGATGTTTTGTCTAGACCTATCATAGTTTTCTTCTCAAGTAAGCTATGCCATTTTTTTCATGACTGTATTCACCATTTGAATCTAGAAAGCTAGGCTTCTTTGAACTTCTCTACCTACTATTTGCACGGGGTTGACATTGCCTCTTGACTTAATTTTCCTTTGTTTGATTTTGATATACAGGAACAAATTGTTTTTTTGTACTTTATTTTTTCACTTACAAAACGTTCATATTTTTCATTTCTGACCCTGAGAATGGTTTCATCACAAAGATAGTTGATATTTCTCCCAGGAGCTTTAATTTCTATTTTCTCTAGTTCGGCATTTCTCATGACATATTCTTCATGTAAGTTAAATAAGAGGTGACAATCTATATATAACCTTGGGTTACTTTTTACCTGATTAATTGCTCCATGTTCCATTATAATTGTTGCTTCCTACAATTTATTCAGTAGGAAGATATGATAACCCAGCCTAGGTTTTTAAGGGCTTTTATAAGTAAAGAAAAATGGGGTATCTGTTTGAAATTCTCTTGCCTTTTCCATTAGTCATCAGATGTTAGCAGTGAATCCAGCTAGTAGAGCCAGAAATTCTCATGTATTATTTAAGACTGGATAGCAAAATCTTAAAATATTAATCTTACTAGTGAAGTACAATTGTTTGAGAGTTTGAGCATTCTTTAATATTGTTCCATTTTTTACATTAAATTACAAATCTATCTTTTCCATTCCCTAAGCAACAAGACCTAAGATTGTTATGGGGAGGATGCAAATAATGCTTGTACATTATAAACCATCCAGAGAATATGGGACAGTATATAAGCCTAAATGCTATTGCTATTTGTAAGATTTTGAACAGTTATAATGATATTTCAACAACTTCTGTGCCTTTTCGATTGGAAGTATTTTTGCTAAGTAGTAGATTTGCTGAGGAGAGTTTAATTTCATTTTTCAAAATGTCCAACTAGAATAATGAACAATTTTTTGTGTCTTTCATCAATTTTGACAACTATTTGTCAGTTCCTCTTTATATTGATACCATTTCTTCTTACTACCAGTATCTTTTTTTCTCCCATAGAATTTTGCTTTCATCTTTTAGGCCCACATTTTCATATATGTAATGTTCTTATATAACTCTGAATGCATCAATAGCAGCAATTTGTATTCTTTTCCTGGTGTTTCTGGGTGTTGTTTTTTTGTTTGTTTCATCTTCAAACTACAGAGTTCTTCAGACATTCTATGAATCTAATCCATTAAATCTATTCTTTGTTGGATCCATAATTCTACAGAATATAGCTGAAGTCATATCTTGTAGTTTTGATTATTTATTTCGTCTTCTGTAGTTTTAGCTGTAATAAAGCTTTTCCATTTCTCTTGCAGAATATATAATCAACCTGATTTCACTATTTTATCCATCCATTGACATCCATGTGTGTAGGTTTTTTTTTAAATTGTTGGAAAAAGTGTTTTGCCACACTGAATGTTACTGGCAGCATTCTCTTTCCTGCTTCATTCTCTACAGTGAGACTAATTTTTCTGTTATTCCAAATTCTCTTAGACTTTTAATTTTAGCATGGTATGATAAAGTTAAAGTTAATGTATATCTTAAAAATCATTATATTACTGTGCCATATTGAGAATTTGGAACTGATATAAATTCAGACTGTACCCGAAAATGCCTTTATGGGTCTCAACACAAGCAATATATTAACGGAACGAAACAGGTAAAGAAAAATAATTAATTTATCAAGAGTTGTTGGAACAGGAATACAGGGAACATAAAATGAAATCAAGAGAACAATTGATGCATAGGGAATTAGTTTTAAATTGTCTTCCGATATATAAGAGAAAGTTTTAAGGTAGATAAACATTTAGAATTGAGCAGCAGAAAACAATTTGAAGTTGAAATATGTATAAATAATGAACATGTAATTGCTAAGATATATAAATTTTTCTTGAAATTTGAAACAGAATAATAGATAAGAGCACGATAAAGTAGATTAAGAACTTTGGATATACTATGCAGTGGGAAAATATGTGGCTAAAATGACTGAAGTTTAAATTAAATCAGCAGTTAAAAGAATTTTTATGGAATGTTGTACCATTAGTATATGGCTCCAGGAAAGTTGTCTAGAGTGGTATAAAGCAGGGCTGTCAAACTTGATTTCATTGAGGGCTGCATCAGGGTTGTGTTTGACCTTGGGGGGCTGCGGTTGGCATGGCCAGCTCAACATCAGTCGTGTCGGCACCTGTGGCAGCCTGAGCCAGCGAAAACGGGTTCCCGGGCACCGTTTTCAGCTGCGACAGCCTCCTGCAACCTTCTGCCAGGGAAAACGGAGCTCCAGAGGGCCGCTCCATTTTCACTGGCAGAGGCACTGCAGGCCAGTCCTTCGCTGTTTCCAAGGCAGCCCCACAGACCAGATCTAAGCACCCCGTGGGCCAGATCCAGTCCCCGGGCCTTGAGTTTCACACCCCTGGTATAAAGGTACTTCAGATTTATGCTGGAAATGTGATCAATATGAGAATCATTTCCTCATGCTTGATGGACTTAGTGGAAATTTCTGGGTTCAGAAACATGTAATGATTTAAAAAAATGTTAAAAACCAACATTCAGCTGAAACCAGAACTTGTCTTAAGCAGCAGCAGCCAATTTACAAGGCCATCTTGGTGCT